GTTCTTTCTCAATGCAGAATCAATCGTCGCAATATCTACTGTTTCTAATATACGCTCCATCCCTTTTCTAAATGAATTTATTCTATTTATATTGTAAACATTGTCAGTTGAAGGTGAACACGTGGCTAAATTGGCGGAAGCATATGCTGCTGCTTGTACATATGGATTGAATATGGAATCATAATTGAATTTGGGTTTGGGAGGCCAGCTAGATAACAGCATTTTTTGAAAAAATATTTATGGGAACCGCAATCCAATCAATCAAACAATTTAAATTTATGGATTGATTGGATTTTCTACCTAGAATCATCGCTACTGCGTGTAGGAATTTCAATTGACCGAGATCCGTTCATGATTGCTAATGCAGCTCACTGCAATCCATGTATTTCACAGCCACCATGACATCATAGTTTGTGTAACGGGTTGACTTTCTCAAAGTTCTCTATTAGGAAGCAATGTTTCAATATCGAGCGGACAAATCCAAAAAGTCGGGGAGAGCTAGTTTTATTTATTTCGTGATTCTGTATCTTTTTTGAGTGCTTCTTTTAGAATAGCAGTCAGTTCAACAGCTTTGATACTCGCAATTTGCATGCACTGCAGGATTTCTTCAGTAGCAACACACGCGGATTGTTTGATACAGCAGATTTCCTTGTGTGCATTCATAACAATAATTAATTCTCCTTCAGTTACTTGTTCTTCCATTAAAGTAGGGTCAAGAACATATCCATCGTGATAGATCCCAAATGTTGTGCTGGTTGGAATATGATGAATTGAGAGCGGTATCGGTACTTTATCGTCGACAGAATGCTACCATTAATACCCAGTTACTATTATCACATCCTTTCCTGAGACGGAAACTTCTGGCCTTCTGAAATGCAACAATGCAGCCATTGCAGCTAAACAGCAACAATCAAACAAATTCCCTTCATGATCTATAACTCGCACGTCAACTTTAATGCTCCAAACTTTTTCGCCTGCGATAATACATAGTCCTTCAGTGTCTACAGCTCTTGAAACCCGTAGACTTTTTTCCAACATTCTTGAAATTACTACTTCGGCATCTGGTAAATCCAAACAGCAAATAGGTGAAATTTCAGTATTGAAATTGATTGAGCCTTCTGTAGAAGATGACGGTGCGGGTCTGGCAATTTCGTACGATACATTTGCAGTTACTTTGGTTTTTCCCAGAGATACTTGGCACTGTCCAAACGATCCAAAAGTTAATTTAATTTTCCTTAAATCTGTTTTCTGGCGGAAATCTAATCTTTTATTTGCTTTCAAGTTTGTGGTGATGAAATCCTTTTCTATTTGCGAAACAACTTGCATTTTGATTTTCCAAAAAAAATATTTTTGGAACCCCCAATTATACTCAATGATAGAGATGGCACGTAGTATTGCTCAGAGTCGCTGAATTAGAAACCATTAAAGTGGAATATATTGTATTGAACAAAGTCCGCGCTCATTGTTAACGTCATTGTAGTGTAACAATCAACATTGGTTCGATTTGCTACTTTCTAATGTCGAGCCTGGTTTTTCAGTCACTGTGGAAGAGCACCGAATGCATCAATCCCCCCGACAAACTATTAATTTTCGACTCTGTCAACACCACGAACGTAATGTTCTATCTCAATCAAATTAGCACATGTGGGATGTTTTACAATCCAGATCCCAGCGGATCTGGGTGCTGTACAGTTTCACTAGATGAAGCAGACTATGGAAACTATTTAGGGATGATGGAAACATTCATTGGTGGTCTGTGGGATATGGATACTGCAGCACCGCCATCTGCCAATGAACACTACTACTGCTGGATACAGAACAACGATCCCACTGATTGGACATACGCTGCTTACTTGGACTCTGACCAATGCACAGATAAAGTCAAATGCTTCAATGGGAACTTGGTTCTTTATTCCGACGCTGCGTGCACCTCAGAGGTCCAGGTACTACCGATCCAGGATAATATCTACTCGGTGAATACAAGCATATTAGGCAACGTTACTGTTTCTAGGAAGCAATTCGCGGATGGAATGAATGGCATTGCTTGGACATCATACCAGCCAGGCAACATGCTGATTCCTACTCATAAAAATCCAGTAGAAGTTCTGGGCCTAATCGGTTACATTCTATCTATCGGATGCTCACTCTTCACCTCATTTTATTACATTCGTGCGTATTACTACAAGAAGAGTATGCAGTCGCTATTAATTACTGGTATACAAGTTGTAGAATTTTTCAAAGTAATTGTTTCACTAGTTTATGTATACTACATATTTCAAGATGTCACTCCGCTGAATTTGGTAAAACTTACTTTGGATTTGCTGACTATATCGCATTTATTTTGCAATATGCTCAGTGGGCTATTACTCTTGAAAATCTTGAACGTTCACCAAATTAAGCTCAACTTTTGCTTGCAGCTATTTCTAGTTATTGTTTGGGTGTCAATGAACATTTTATATTTCATGTGCGATTACTACTGGTTGATTGCGTGCGAGTACATTGATTACAATTACTACAATGCGTTTTTCAATATTATTGAAGTTGCAGTCAACTTGAAAAATTACTATATGGCGTTTGTATTTATCTTCGATGCTTTGCCGTTGATTGCATTATTGGGGATTATTGTACGACAAAAAAGAATCAAGCTGAAGAATCGATCCAAAGAATTAACCTGGCTACAGATTGTGTTCGAGTACCGACATATTTTGGGATTGATATTCTTCCAAATGTGTGTAATCTTTTTCTATGAATTCACAGCATATATATTAGAGTATAACTTGCTGATGAATAACGATAGAACAGTTTTAGGAACTGGGGGAACCCAGGTTTTTTGGATTGAAGCGCATTTTCTGTCTGTTGTAATATTTAATGAATATCTGAAGCGGTATACGAGAGATTTAGTCAATACTGATGTAGATACAAAGAAGAAAGAGCCGCAGAAAATGCTGCTAGATTTGGCTCCGATAACTACAAAAGAAAGCTCAACTCTGCAAGGAACAAAGTTGGAAAAGGAAACTGTAGTGCTGAAATAAACTTTATGATTCAAATATTTAACCAACGAGTTTTATTTATTGAAAAAGCACAGTATGTATACTTCCACCTCAGACATTACCTGGCACATTATGAATCCAAATACATTGCATGCCTACTAATAACAAATCCAAATACATTGCAGAATCGCATGCCTACTAATAACAAATCCAAAAATCTTCCACGTTGAAAAAACAAATGGCAAAATCATCTTTCAGACAATACCATTTCGACCCAATCCTGACGATATCCCAAATAATAGGTTTGTATAGTTAATCCAGCTCTCACCTCGCTGTACTACCTCACACTGGTAACTATAGTTATCATCAGCGACTTTTTATTTGGATTGCAATTATCACTGGACAGGATATTTGATTACAGCCAGATTGACTTATCGTTAGTACCCGGATGGAGTAATTTCTTTTCGTTTATTATTTGCTCGGTCATATCGTAAGTTAAATGTAATGTAGCTGCTGGTATATTTTGTATATTGTCGAAAGGTCGAGGCAGTGTCTGGATTTCAGTTGCACAGTGCATGTAGTACACCTGATACTCGTCTATTTCTATTCCGGATTTCCAGCCAGTTTTTCGTGGTGGTTCACAGTAATTTATTGTTAACGAGATTATCCTTTGTGCAACTATATTGTCTTGGGGATCGGAAAGGCTCTGCCAGGAGAAAGAGATGGCTCCGATAGATTTGAAAGGGAAGGATGTTGAAATGCAGAGTTTTATTGCTGAATAAATTGTGATTATATTGGATAGGATAGCAAAATCTCATTAATTATTTCACAGGATTCAGTAAAAGTCATTTATTAGGCTAGAGCTGCGATTCTGTCAACAAGCGAGGCTTCTGGTAATACTTTGTAACCATCCTTAGTTACTGTCGCAACTTGCACATTTGTACTGCTGATTTTTTCTTCCATGACGGCTTTTAGTACTTTTAGAGAAAGGGAAATAGCTTCCTCAAGTGTAAGTGATTTGTGGAAATGTTCTTGCAATTCAGTTTGAGCTCCTTCGCTTCCGCTTCCAATTGCCTTTGCGTCGTATCTAGTCAAAGTGCCAGATGGATCTGCATGGTACCTAAATCAAAAAACGAATACAATTGCGGTCCGTTTTCATCAATTCCTCCAATCAATAATGCAATTCCAAAAGGTCTGGACATTAGCGCATCTTCTCCGTCCGCACTTTCTCCAAATCGTAAAGCCAAATCACACACACTTTGTGCAACACTTTCAACTTTCATTTTTTCATCAAAAGTAAACCAGTGGTTCTTCATTAGTAATAAATACCTGGCATTCCACTCTTGCATGATCAATCATTGTTCTGGAATCAGCAATTAATCCAGACATTGCGCATCCCAAGTGAGTGTCAATCTCGACAATCTTTTCAATTGAAGACGATTCTAATAAGGTGGACGTTGATCTCTTTTCAACTGCCAATACTATTCCATCCTTGGTTTGAATTCCTATTGCTGTTGATCCGAGCTATGTGAGTGATATTTACTTTGATTGCCTCGATTGCGTATTCTACTTGAAATAACCTTCCTTCTGGAGAGAATGTATTTACACCTCTGTCATATTCACCTTTGTTAGTTGTTTTTACTTCTTGTCAAAAACATTTTGAGATTAGTTTTTTATGGGAAACCCTGGTCTTGGTGTTTGGAGAATGGAAGCCAAGCCCATTCATTATTTATTGAATAATGGACGACAATATCAAAGATACAGGATCTCTTAACCAGGCTGCTTGGACATTGCTAACCTTGCAGATCCAACAGAGTCTGTTGGTTAGGATTGCCCTTGAAAGTCTTTCGCACCGCTTATCATGATAGATAAAGGACCAACTGAGTATGCTGCCAATGCTAGCAGGAAGAAATCGGAATCAAAAGATATAATTCACAAATCCCAAAATATCTGGCTTTCTATTCTCGTGCTGTGAAAACTTTAAGATTTGAACTGCTATGGGATCAAAAGTGTCTCTGGATAGATTTGAACTACCATCCTCCACAAAGTAACATCAGTATTGAATGTAGTTCCATTACGTGATAGTAAGCGTTGCTCTACCATTTGAGCTACAGAGCCATGATTCGCCAATTTTCTAATGACTCATGTCAAATATGGAGGTGAAATTCGCAAGGGAGCTGTTGCAATCCTTATTTGGATAAATAAAGCTTCAAGGTAGACTCAAAGACGCGTATTTTTTACATGTGCTTAAAGGGGCCGTGGTCCATCTTCAGTAGCTTTGGGAATAGGAAAAACAATCAGGATTCGCGACCAGCTAATATAATATGCGAATTAAAAAAATCAACCCGACTAAATTACGCGATTTCCAAGATATTGTAAAGTACTTTGCAAGTCTCACAGCCATCACCGACCAGACAGGCTTTGGGGATTTGATCAGTATAATAGATTACTTGGACTATTCTGAAACTAAAAGAAAACATTGTAAATCAGACTATGAATATTACGTAAAACTACAGATGCAAGCTGTCTATAGTATAAAATTGAACCATCCAGCAATGTATGAAGAAGTAGTAGCGTTGTATTACCTCTTGGATGAAAAATTTGAAACGACAATAAATTACAGGATGAGGCTGTTTGCCCATGGTTTATTCAGTGCAAACCCTGCTACAGTGAATGAACGGCTGGTAATTCAAAGTAACGTAGATGGATCTGAATCAGTTGGAAACCATGCACTGCATAATCAATAATACAAAATCATTGGACTATAAACACGAAAAAATGTATTTCAGGTCCGACAAATCTCCGTCAACACAATTCAGACAGATCATTGTTGAGTTTACCAATGAATTTAAATTTATGAATGATCCGTTTGGAAAGAATTCAGAGGACGCTATTCTGTCAGCTGAAATAATTGATCTGAATTCCAGGTTGAAAAAAATCAAGGATAACATAGCTCGAATTAAGCAAAAGCACGCCGAGAAAAAGTTTAAATTGTCGAAACAAATGGAAGACTCGTTGGTTACCAAGCAAAAACAACTGTCTGACTTGGAATCGAAAATCAAGGAAAAAGAACAAGAGCAACAATCAATGAAAAAAGCACGGACAAATGCCATAATTGCAAGCCAAGAAATCGTTATTGAAGAAGAGCGCTTGCCAGAAGAAATAAAGGAGGCAAAGGAAGTTGCCATTTTAACCAAAGCAAGACAAGGAACACAGACAGAGAGGGAAGAGCTAAGAGCAAGAGAATCACATTTCAACAATGAATTGAAATTTTTACACAAAATGATTTATGAAGCGACTATAGAATCTGCCGATTTGAGAGTATAACATGTTTGACATAGAAATTGCCAGAAATCGCCTATTTCAAGCTGCTGCTGTCATCCATTAAACAAAGGAGGACTAAAAGCATAGTGGAATCTTTCTCAACAGCTGCCGAGTTCCACAGATGCCTGAACAACTTTTTATTTTTGAAGCAATACAATGAATTATTCCCGAAAAAGAAAAAGCTGTTGGTGGATCATATCCAAATACTAAAACGAGACAAGGGCCCTTTTAAAAAAAATGCTCCTTCGTTTCCCAAATATCTTGCTAATCTATACCAACAAAAGAACTACTTATGGAATAACTATGAATATGTATTGATGGAGTTTGAAACAGTCCAGTACATGCAATATCTCTCTGATTTTAAGCAGGCTCTGCAAAATTTGGTGTGTGTTTGCGAATGCAAGCTATTAATTAATGCGATTGAATTGAATCAGGACGATCTGGTGCAAATTAGAACAGGGCATATGCTGTTTTTGTTTAAAATGAATATAATTAAAGAGCCAAAGGTCCAAAGCATTATTTCAAAAGTAAAAGAAGACTTGAGCCCAGGAATCACCATGGAATTGAAAAGGCAAATTCAGTCAATCGAGCAAAGTAATCTCCCGCCTTATACAATTGAAATCGGAGCACATTTGCAGCAGCAGCGGGTTATTAAATGGTTATTCATCAACATGCCAAAATTACGATCTGAACATTCTCAAATCATATTGGAGCAATTTTCAGCGTACAACAAGTTCAAATTTTTACCATCAGCGGATATTACCAATTCCGAAACAACTCTGGTTAACGACAGCAGCAAAATATCCCCAAAAAAAGAGGAAATTAAATCAACTAATATCAAAGAATTCTATTCACTTACACAAACACCTCTATCATTGCTCCTACTTTTGAATCCAAACAGTAACTCTGCAGTGGATCAATTAATTGGAATTTCCTTTGAAATCAACAAAATGATCAACGCAATGAAATCTGAATCCATCTCAAGAAACGAATTCTTGAAATCGATTGAATATGCCTGCTACGAAATGAAATCCAGACTCCAATTAAATGAGACTCAAAAAGCAAAACAAGCACTGAATGAGTCGTACTTTGATAGGCTGTTTGACAAGCTGAAATTAAATTTGTCCAGCACCTGGAATCAGACAGTCCATTCTTTATCCTTGATATACTTTAACTACTTTCGAGAGCCTCAATCAAATACAAAAGTTACACTGTGCATCAAGATTATCAATATTCTAATTGAAATCCTACCTCAAAATCCGTCTGCAATTTTCAATTCAGATATGAATTATTTCAACAGAATTGTGGACGGTATTGAAGTAAAACTTTCGTCTTTTGGAGATATCCTGTCAGATGAAATCAGGAACAAAGACAACAGAAATATAGAAGCTTCGGCGAATGAAATTGTCAAAGTTCTGAAAGAATATAGGATAGTATTCAGTTTATTAAATATCCATCAGTTTGTCGTATACTTGAACAAAGAACTTCCCTTCAAAGTCATTATCCCTGAAACCTTTCGCCAATTCTACATGATAAATATCAACGTACTATTCTATTAATACAGTGTGTTCGAAATCATTTCGAGACAATCAGGAAATTATCAAAGAAAACCAAGCAAACCATGGATATCATTCATAATAGTTATTTGAACGTTGAAGTTGAAAAACTGTTGATGGAATATCGCTCAGAGCTAGTTATATTTGCAACAGAACTAGAAAAATGTGTCAATTCCATTACCTTCCGCCTAGTTTACAGATCAAACGGAAAGAAAAAGATTATTAAAGACCTTGCGTTAAATATTGAAAATTTAATGTTAAAAAATACAAAGCAAGATATAGAAGGAGGTAATTTTGACTAATTGCTGGCATCAAAAACTTGGAATTGCTCAACCACATGATTGCAGAGAAAGAACAAAGAATGAGGTTGCTTGAACATCAAATTACTCTCTACAAAAAACAAAATGTTGTTTCGGTATTCAATAAGCATTTGTACGACAAAAAAATAGCAGTTAAATCGAAAGAACTCGAAAATATCGAAAGAAGAGTTCACTACTTGGCTGCAATTACCACTTTGGCACCATTTAGTACTGATAAGCTGTACTTGATACAAATTTCAAGAATATTGCAGATGATAAACGACGACAATAGTTTGGCTATTGCATTTAATAACTTTGCAGTCAAATACGCTTCTCAATTTGGACATGTAGACCTTGTGAAAGAATTGCTAGCATTCGGACCAGTAGTTGATCAAATCCGCTCACAGCAACGCTCAGATAATAATAATTTACAATACGAGCCAATTCAACTTTCGATAATGAATAATCATTTGGATGTGCTATCTGTCCTCCTGAAATATGTTGCTCCAGCACCAGCAACAATCATTTGGGCCGCTGAACTGCAGTTTTGGGAAGCAGTAAAGATATTACTGATAGATCGTCGAATCCACCCAAATATTTTGGACAACACCTTACTAATACTGGCAAGTAAAAACGGAAGGCTTGATGTAGTTGAATATTTGACTAGAGATGACACTGTCGAGCCCTCAGCTCAAGATAACAGCGCTTTCATTCAAGCATGTGCAGGCGGCCATTTAAAGGTTATGCAACTGCTTTTACAATTCAAAAGCGTCGTTCCTTACGCTCAACACAACAGAGCAATACAATTGGCGTCAAAGAATGGGAAATCCAAAGTTGTAAAATATTTGCTTCAAGCTGACAAAGTCGACCCAACAGCAAACAGCAATGCAGCTATTAGATCTGCAGTCGAAGAAGGGCATGCAAGCACAATTGACGTGCTTTTATGTGATCCTCGTATCGATCCAAATATGGAAAACAGTTGTCTTGTTCATTCTGCAGCAGTTAATGGGATGGTACATGTATTGCGAGTCCTTATTGATGATAAACGCACAATTATTCCGTTTTCCGACAAAGGAAACTTTGAATTAGCAGTAAATCAGGGGAAAGAAGCGCTTTTGGCCTTCTTTAAAAAGATAGGCTACCAGGTAGATTTGAAAAAGTATGAAATTGGAGTACAAGACTATTTTATGCCAGATGGTGGGGATTTGGAGGTAAACATCCAGCCTGGTCGTTTAATGGTCCCGCCTATACCTATATTGGAGGAAGACGAGTTTGTTGACGCACTAGATACTGTTCAGCCCTGCAAAAGCTACGGTGAAATGCTTAACTGCTATTCACAAAACGGCAGAGCCAGTCTTATTGACTTGATTCTACAGGATGACAATCCGTATCTTTCCTCAAAAGGGTGTAATGCTTTAATTATTGCCTGTCAAAACGGCTACTTGGCTATTGCCGAGTCTTTGCTGAAAGATGGAAGGTAGCTATTGGCTTATTTAGGTTTGATCCATCGCTAGATGGAAACATTGCTTTGATTCTTGCTTGCAAAAATGGGCACGCTGAAGTAGTTGAATTATTATTACAAGATGCTCGGGTCGATCCTGGAGTGAATAATAACAGCCCGATCATGTTTGCTGCCAGAAATGGACACCTAGGAGTTGTTGAATTATTGCTAAAGAATCCTAAAGCGGATGCGTCAGATAATGACAACTCTGCTATTAGTTTGGCGAGAGAAATGGGACACAGAGATGTAGTACAATCCCTGTTGAAAAACCATAAAGTAGCTCTATTATCGGCATTCCAAAATCAAGACCAGGATTTAATCAAGGAACTGATTTCATCTGATGAATTTTCTCCACAATTTAAGAATAATTATGCCGTAAGAATGGCTTGTGCTGATGGATACCAGCAGATCGTCGAGATACTTTTAGGTGACAAAAGA